TGTATAGTAGCCTCTTCTACTTTCTCCAATAAGTTTTCCGTTTTTGTTGGTGTGAAATTCGGTACAAGTGATCGTCAAGGTTTAAATGAGATTATTAAAAATAAACATTTTAAATTGCTAATTAATATATTGTTTGATATTTGTGAATATGTAAAATATTGAAAAAACTTATAATGTGTACTACTGTTAATAAGAGGTGCCAAAGCCAATTAAATGCATGAAACTGCATGTAGATCATTCTAGAACATGATTTTCTTATTTGATATATTTTTAAACTAAAATATAATACCTTTTATTTAGAGGTTCTTGCTTATAAAAGTTACTTTTTTAAATATTTTTTATTCTAATGTTTAAAAATTTACATCTTAAGTTTTTTACTAATTTTAATAATTTTACTATATTAGAATCAGAAAAGCTTACTTTACAACTTTTGCTAAAAATTAAAAATATTTTACTTAATATTTTTTTAAAAAATAAAATATAAACTTTAAATATCTTAAGTTTTATCAAATCAATTTTGATAATTTAACCACTATTAGAATCAGAAAAATCTTTTTTACAATTTTACTTAAAACTCAACAAACTAACTTGATAAAAAAATTTAATAAATAATAATAAAAAAAACAAAAATTCATAATAAAAATAGCAATTCTTTTATATGATTTTTATACTAAAATCTGCATATCTTACGTTAAAGCTATCAAAAAATCTGCTAATCAAAAATTTATTAATGCACAAGTTTATGATTGATTTGTCAATTCGATTTGTAAAATACAATGATAATTTTATCACATACTGCAATTGCTATTTTACATAATAGAATACAAAAAATTACTTTAATAAGCTTACTAATTGCGTAATCATCTCTCTTATGCTGATATTGCCAGTTCTGTTATTAATTTTGTACAAACGTCAAAAAATGGATACATAGAAGTAACTTCTTTTCCATCAACTTGTAATATATTTGATGACATTGCTGCTTCTTCTTGTCTATCTTCAATAGTCGATGAGGATGTACTATCTTGTTGATTTGATGACATAAATGATTCTACTTGTGATTCAAATGATGATGGTGAAGAAGTTGATGATGTTGATCCAGCCACAGAAGGTAATTCATAGCCAACATTTTTGAAATCAACAAGATAATTATTGATATCAAGCCTATAAAGCTGCAAATCAATTTTAACCTATAGTAAAACGGATTTTTTTTTTTAGACAACATATTGTAAACCAGATAATGCATAGGATTGTGTTCAGAGCTTATATGGTTAATCATATACTTGACCAATCAGTATCACGGAAGCAACGGACGGACTTCTTCACGTGAGATTATTGATCATCCATCTTCCGTTCGCTCCGAACGAAATTATGCATAATAATAATATAATAATATAAGTAAACTTATGCGTACTTCCAATCCAGACGGATAAATATAACGACTCCGAACATGGAAAGGATCAATGGTTTTCCATTCCTATAAAATTGTACGAACATTTGTTAAACCTATTTATAAGATATTAAATAATCATGTATTAACGTATACCATTCCAATGTTTTTAAGGCAACGATATATTTCCAACATTACTTCCAATGGTGGGTTTTGCGAGCGAATTCCAAAATGCCATTTCGATCTCGATTTGGGTTTCTTGTTTGTTATCGGAACATTATTACTCAAGGAGTAGGGAATTTGAGAATCTATATATCATTATTATTGATTAATACGCTAGTCTAATGAAATAATCAGATTGCAAATTTATAGACCTTTAGGAAATTCATCAACAGGTGGCAAGCTTGAACTTAATAGAGCTATACTGGACGGTTCATTGTCTTCCTCATTCACGTCTAAAGTTATGCTAGGCGGTTCATCATCATCCTCGTCCACCACACTTACCTTCCTAGAATGCTATTTTATAATAGAATACAATTAACTAAGATAAAATTAATAGTTTTTTGTCATACAATTTAATGGTGGCAGACCTGAAGTGTGTCCCATGAAGGGGATGCTGCTAAAAAGCTTTGTATATTTTTTGGACCGGACATCCTCCCTGAAACATAAAAGCATTTTATCAAAAAATCGAATGGAAATTTGTGGCTATTATTAACATACCAGCGGTTATCATTCGTTTGTGATCAACAACGAGCTGATAAGCAACTTTTATCTGATTATTTTCAATTTCCTGTAGCGCCTTATATATGGTATCTTTACTAAATCCCATTTTCTGAAAAAATGAAATGATAATAATATCAAAGTAAATTTCAAAGTTTTTTGAAATGTATGAACATATTTCTAAGACAAACCTTGTGAATTTCCGAAACAATGCTATCATCAATTTCACTAAAAGATACTTCTTCGTTGTCTGGAAGAGGTTTTAAATAATCAGGTAAACCAACATTAAACCATGATGTTTGTCTAAATCATGTGAGATGGATTAGGTATAAGCTATTACACAATTTCTGTTAAATTTTTTTAAACATAATACCTTATTTCCTGGATGGTGATTCTTTTTAAAGGATCCACAACCAACATAGACTTTAGCAAACCTTTAGTATCTGGTGATAAAAATGATGGAAGTGTATATATTCCACCTACAAAATAGCCATATCAATGAATTTACCATAATTGATATAAGTTAATTATTACTTAAATTGCATAGTTACCCACCATTTATTTTTTTGAATAATGCTGGTATGTATTCATCATCAAAGGGCAAACGTCCACAAAGCATGACAAATAGAATAACCCCACAGCTCCATACGTCTACTTCAGGACCAGCATACAACCTTCATGAAGCGATTTAATTGTTAAGACTTTCAATAAAAACCAATTTTGAATTAATATATAGTGATCCTGGCCGATCATTGTTTATCTGTTTAGTCGATTAACCGATTTGAAATTGCTGAAAAACTTAGTTTTCGACCTTGATTGTATTTTTAAGTTTGTTTATTTTCCAAATAGGAAATTTTTTTAGGAGCGCTATAATCCTAGTTTTGGTCTTAATAAAAATTCTATCAGCCGATTTTTTTTTAAAAAAAAATCGACCAAGTCGATAATTTGCTTAAGCCGATTTTTTCATTATCGGCCAAGATCACCGTTAATTTATAATAATGATAATTACCTGCCAGAAATAACTTCAGGAGCAGCATAATTTGGACTTCCACAACTGGTTTTCAGGAAGTCACCATCAGTCATGATATTCGACAACCCGAAATCCGCAATTTTAACATTATTATACGGATCCAGAAGAAGGCTATTTCATTATCCCAATTGAACATTATTAAGATAACAAACTTAAAAAGCGAAAGTAATCCGAATTTACTTTTCTGGCTTTAGATCTCTGTGGACGATCTTATGACGATGGCAATACTCTACAGCACAAATGATCTGTTGGAAAAATCGTCGAGCATCATCTTCACACATCTAAAGAAAAATCAGCCTATCAGCAAAAAGTTACAAAGAAGAACTAGATTGTTAAACACATTATTTTACCTTGCCTTTTTCTAAGATGAGGTTGAACAATTCACCCCTAGCATACTCCATCACCATAATAATGTCGGTTGGCATAGTGATTACTTCGTATCTAATTAGCATAAATAAGATGAATCGATCATGAATAACAGTAAATGAAATAAATGCAATTAATACTTACAATTTGATTATATGTGGGTGACGGAGAAGCTTTAAATATTGGATTTCGCGCTTCACTCTTCCAACCATATCCAGGTGTGTTATTTTTCTTCTGTTAATGAATTTCATGGCTACTTTATGACCTGTTACAGTGTGTACGGCCACTACAGAATAATTAAAATTTGAGGTGAACAACTTTCTCTAATAATAAACGAAGTAATGCAATCTTCGAAGGAATTTGACAAATTATTACATTTAACTTTGCCAAAAGAGCCAACACCGAGAGTCTGTAAGACATTGTATTGACCGATCTTTATTTTGTTGGAAGCCATACGTTTTCCTTTTAAAATGTTAGAAGTGTGGTTAAAAGAAAGTGACAATTGAGTTTAACAGTATAAGACATTTCCCACTTGATGCTTTTTGGTAGTAAATCGGTTTGTGTAACGTACACGGAAAATGCTTTTGAAAATGACACTTCCATGCCAAAAAATTGATTTTTTTCCGAAGATCAAAGTGCTTTTATTACATTTTTTTGTTAGGATTACAATTAAAAATAGCGATTTTATTTTTACAATTGTCCATTTATTAACAAATACTGTATATGCTGTATATATTTAAAAATGAAAATTTTATTCGTAACATATTTTCATTAATGAAATTTCCCAGTTTAATACGTATTAAGATAAGGTTAGTCTTAGCGTTAGAGCTTAGAGAAAAACATGATTCTGTAATTTTGAGAAATAATACCCGCGTGAATTAACCATTCAGTGAAAAAAATTAGATGTGTGCAAAAAACGATTTACATACGTGCGCTTTGCGCACTAAATTTCAAGACTGAATTTTTTTTCACTGTTAAGGCTGCTCCAAATTGATTCCATATTTAACATAATCTCTAATATCATTTCTTCCCTTTATTTTTTTAAAAATTTACTCCATATTAATCGATCAAATTGCAGTATTAGCTTTTTCATATGGATCTTGGTGAGTAATTTATGCCAAGAAAATCCCGAGCTGCCGACCAAAAAAATATGGGTCGTAGTATCTCAAAAATTCCCTATAAATCTAACATCAAAATTTGTGTTTAGAGGTCAACTCATACAGGGAGATCCCCAAAATTTCGGGTCGGAATACTTCGGATTTAGCCCGGCATTTAGTTAGCATTTAGTAATACAAGTTAACCATTTCTGGGCCAAAATTATCAGCTGGGCAGCTTTACTTAACGTTAATGAGTGAGCTATGGTTTCATTAGTAAAACTTTTAGTGATCTTGGGCAAAATTAGTTAATTGGCCTTGCCGATCATGATTCCGAAGTATTCCGACCCGGAATTTGGGGATCCCCATGTATAGTAAAATTTTTGTTTTCGCGTTTGGTTTGTTACATGAGATTCTGTGATCCGGATAGTGTCTTCAGCCCGGGATTTTCTTGACATAAGGGGTGTGACTTCTTTTGCTGTGGGGGGTTCCTAAGTCAGAGCAAAATCTCTAGTTTGCTTATGCGGGGTCAATAATGGTCGGATGAGTTTTTATTAACTTAGACAATATTTTGTATCTATATATGTAATATATAATAGTTCAAAAAATTTAATGAAAAAAAAGATATGGTCTTATTAATTGAAGAAATTATTTTTCAAATCCGGCTCAGTACTTATATAAAAAATTATGACGCAAATAGATTTAAAGCGACGAGGAGCACGCCTTACTCAGGGCATGTAATTGAAGGCATGCCTTATTTTTACCTATGCATCGAACCTATACCAAATGTCATCGAACCCCATATGTATAAAGAAAGCGATTATCGCGTGAGCGTTCTGATTGGTTGTTTCTTTTTATTGTTATTGTAAATAAGTAACGCGTAAATAGCTCATTTGCAATCGCCCGTTTTTTGATTTTTTTTTTATCGTAATGTCTTATCCTACCAAAAGTTGCTTAAGAAAGAACGACGATACAGCAACGACCTTCGACTTTTTACAGGAGGATAATGGCATTAACCCTTTTGCGCCGACGTGTGATAATACAGCGACTTTCACATTACGTAATTTAGAAGATACCGGGATTATAGAGTACATATCATCAGTTTATTTACTATATAGCGCTGCATACAGTACGTAAGGTACTTGAAATAGTATAGAAACCATTAATGCTCATAAGGTTCCTTAATATTAATAAATCAGACATTTAAAGGAAATTAGCGCTTATAAAAATCTGATCACGCATTGCTTATTAACCAAGGAACTAAGGGTATTGTTGCAGCGCTACATAAATGAATTTCATTACTCATTACTATTGCTATTTGATCTTTATCAACATCATGTTATTAGTGAAAACGGACAAAAACGTCGTAAATCCACAGGGCGAAGAGTTAGCTTTGCAACAACAGCGCATATTCGGTAGAAATTCATGTGAATTGATGCATTATTAAATATTCCATTATGGTTTGCAAAAATTTTAATAATCATTGTTTCCATAATTAATTTCTATTTAGTTTATATGTCAAAGATGATGCTGCGAATGGATTACCAGCTTCATCAAATGGGAATAATGACGTGCCACCCCCAAAGTAAGTTTTATTAATCTAAAAATAGTCGTGAATAAATTGTTCTAATGGTATTGATAATTGCAAATAAAAAGGGTTGACTCGAAAAAACAAGATCCACCCTCAATGGGGGTGCAAGATATGTCTCTTAATGGAGAAGAGGATATGTCATTAGTTATTGGACATGACTCAATATCCTCTGAAACATCCAATGATACGTTGAAAAAAAGGGTTGACTCAGAAAAACAAGATCCACCCTCTATGAGAGTGCATGATATGTCACTTGATGGAGAAACGGATATGTCACTAGTTATTGGACAAGACTTGATATCCTCTGAAACATCCAATGATACCTTGAAAAAAAGTGTTGAATCGGAAAAACAAGATCCACCCTCTATGGGGGTGCAAGATATGTCACTTGATGGAGAAGAGGATATGTCATTAGTTATTGGACAAAGCTCAATATCCTCTGAAACATCCATTGATACGTTGAAAAAAGGGGTTGACACGGAAAAACAAGATCCACATTCAATGGGGGTACAAGATATGTCACTTGATGGTGAAGAGGATATGTCATTAGTTATTGGACAGAGCTCAATGTCCTCTGAAACACCCAATGATACGTTGTTTAACGTTCCTGATGTTTCTTTAATTGAAAATGAGAAAATGCCACTTGTTGAAGGTGTCACGACTACATTTGCTGATGAGGAAGATGATATGGATATAGATGAAGATTACATCCCTACTCCCGATGTCACTTCCGAAGAATTACGTATCATGAAAGAAGCTATCGAAGAACAAAGTGCTCAAATACAAATATTCGAGGCTGAACGTGATAACCTCATAAAAGAGTTACGTAATCTCCAGAGTCAACGCACTAAATTACAAAACGAAAAGACGGAGTTGAATAAAGTACGCAAATCTAGTAATTAGATATAAATCTCATGTTATTCATTCTTATCAAATGATTCTTAATGATCTTAAGGGCATTGATGAGGCTAAACGTCTTGCTCATGAAAATAAATGTTTCACAGAAGAGGATCGGATAAGATATCGTGGTATGTTTAGAAGATAACTCTGTTGAACTTGTAGTTTTTTGCGATAGATATTTTTAATACTACATTTCAACCATTTTCAAGATCAATATGAAAATCTTATCGCAGCTCATTTATGGCGACCAGTAAAGCTATCCGACGAATTCACATACATGATTTATGACAATAGTTTGGAAGTGAAAATCAATTTGAAACCAGTTTCGGGTCAGGGAGAAAGTATTACATCCATTATTGACGTGTCGTTAATCGCTAATGACAAAATGAATACCGAGGACAAACAATATGTAATAAAATTTTTTATTTTTTTATTTTTTTTCCTTCACATGTTATGACATCCTTTTCTGTTTATGATAGTACCAGTTAATGCTTTGCGGGATACATGAATTTATTATGCAGAATATCAATGGGCCTATACAGATAGCTGAAGTAAGCGTGGAGCTGGAAAATGAATACATTTGTATATTTGGGAAAATATAGTAATTTTTTTTTTTTTAATAGATTTCGAGAATCCTTAAAGACATTGTGTCATATTGGCAAAAAGTTAAGAAGTTATATCGGGAAATATTTGTTCTTAGTTTCAGATTTCCGACCGAACTCATCGCGAGTAATGATGACAATGCAAAATTGTGCATAAGAGTTCTTTTCTTTCATTATGTAGTTCGGTCAAAATTTTTTGTAAATTTCTTTTTGCGACCTAGAGATGTGTTGTCATATCCTATGCTAGAAAATATAGAATGGCGATTGGATCATTCTTATGGGGATATTGAGTAAGTAAAAAAAATGTTTATTACCTTACATAATATTTTCTTTTATTAACATTATATTAGCGAGCAGGCAATATTTGATACAATTAAAACACAATTTTCACGAGGTGGAATCGGGTGTATAAAGGCGACATGCATTGAAGTAATGCAAACAATTAAAAATTTATAAAATTAGTCGAGTTGATAATTTTGATACGGCTAAGCAGGTTATTACCTTAATTAAATTTATCAATAAAATTAAAATATTTTTTTAATTTTGACAGTCTTGGTTTTATTATTAAGGTTATACAATACTATATTTTGAATATATAAATACGTATATGTTATTTAGGCTATTAAAACTTGATTGTATGGGTTTAAGTATGATTTGTTTAAATAGTTGTTTATTTTGTTTGGAATTTTTAATTTGAAAATTACAAAACGCAAATTAAACGTTGTCTAAGATTAGAATAGAGAGGGAATAGTTTATACCAAAATCTCGCAAGGAATTTTTTTATTAACGCTCAAAAGGTGATTTCATAAGCGAAATTTTGAAGCAATAATTTGACGTTACACCTGACCGTGTAATCTGATTGGCTTTCTATATACCGCATGTATAAACACCCTGTGTACAAATAGAAATTGTTTTTTAATTTATTAAGGATTTTATTTTTTTGTTTATTAACCTTTATTTATACACGGAGGTAGAGGTCTGCTTTGGGTCCCGCAGCCCGGGCCGGGCTGAAGAAAAATTTTAATATATGCGGGCCGGCAAAAAAAATTTTAACCCCGGGCTGGTCACAAAATAGGCAATTTGCAGGTCCCAATTAAATTACACGATTAGATGTAATGTCAAATTATTGCTTTTTTTAGACTTTAAAATATTGATATTTGTTGGTGAATAAGGTTTTACAAAAATTACTAAAAATAGAAGGATTTGCAAAAAAAGCAAATTAATTATATATCATTATTATAAAGAAATATTATTTTTTTTTTTTTTGCTCTTAAGTAGTCATGCTAGTATTTTATTAAGATTCTTGCAACTATATACAATAACTATATAGAATTTTCCTAATAACTAAGTTCAGCATCACCTGGCCATCTTATTGGTACCTAAGTGCAACTTGTTGCACTATCTCAGTTAGAGGTAGACTGCTTATCTGGTTACTTAAAGTCATATTAGAAAGGATTTCTCTCTTCCAAGACAAGCATTAACTGTCTTTAATTTTTTCTTTAAATTCTTTCTTCTTTTCAAAGAGTTAAAAAAAGAAAAGTATTATAAAATTAAATACAAATAAGAACATGATTAAAAAAATCAAAAGTAAACAAACAAAACTCAAATCAAAACAAAACAGCAAAACAAATATGTAATAATAAGAAAAAGAAAAAACAAAAAAAGGATCGAAGCCTCAGCCAGAGCAAATTGTATAAATTATATAGTACTACTACTTCTAGTCTCTATTCTAGTAATAAGTCTATACTATATATAAATGTAATTTGATGATAGAGATGTTGGTGTTTAATTTTTTCCTTATCAGTTCTATAGCTAGCTTTTTCACTTCGCTTAGAATTACTCCTAATTCCAGAAAAGAGATAATTCTCCTATTCTCAAAACGGATGATTTCTGTAGATCTTTTATAGAAAGTATACTAAATTCTCAATTCTTGTAAAAACTTCCATCAAAAACCAAGCGAAGAATATGATAGTAGTATTTGGTTAACAGATATTCTTGAATTTCTAGTAAGTGTATTGAAAACTTGATTATTGTTCTCCTATAAGGCCTACTATTTTAACTTTGTTAACAGAAGCTGAGACTTCTACTAAAATTTGTTATACAAAGGTGCCTCTTGTCAATTATCTTGTATATGCATGTTTTTAGTTTGCTTATTAGATATATAAAGGAGTCCAGTATAGAAAAACCATTTTGACCTTTATAAAAATTGTTATTTGTATAGTAGTCTCTTCTATTTTCTCCAATAAGTTTTCTATTTTTGTTGGTATGAAATTTGGTATAAATAATCATCAGAAAGAGTTGATAAAGAAATATTATTATAAAACATTTCTTTTTATAAAAACTTAAAATATTGTTAATAATAAAAATTATAATAAAAATATAAATTTACTATTAATTTTGAGCTAAAGACTTTTTTTAACTTTAACTAAATAACAAAATTGGCAAAATTTTAACTTAATTTTTAAGTTAAATTTTTTCTTTTTTTTTGTTTTATATAATTATAAAATTTAATTTTAAGTTTACTTCTTAAGGTCTTATTCTAAACTAATTCAAAATATTTTTAAATAAAATATTTTCTTTTTTTATCTTATATATATAGTTTAATTTTCAATTTCAACTAATCAAACTATTTTTAAATATATTTAATTTAATTATATTTTAATATAATGATCTTAAAAACATATAGATATTATATTTTATTAGAAAATTAACATATCAATAAAATAATAAATATATCTAATTCTATAATAATTTTTTGTTTATTTATTTATTTATTATAATGTTTAAATAAAAACTTTATATATATAGAATTATAAGTTCTAAAATTAAAAATTTCTAAACTACATTTGTACTACTAATAAGCACTTAATGTAACATTATATTACCTGTTTCCTATAAATACTATAATTAATTAATAATTTTTTAAAAACATCAAATTATTATAATAATGATCAAAAAAATATAAAAATTAACAAAATCAAATTTGCAGAAAAAATAATATTAAAACAATATTCAATGACTTAATAAAATAAAAAAAGTTTCTAAAATAAACTTATTAGATATATTAATAGAAAAAAAAAGCTAAACAACAAATAGAAAAATAACAAACTTGATAAATAAGTATCAAAAAATAAAATTTTAGAAAAACAGTATAGATCTGAAATTACAAATCTGTTTAAAATATATAAGCATATAAAGAGACAAATAGACAAGCATATATAAATATAGATAAGACAAATATATAAGTATTACAGAATATATATAATTGTAAACAAACTAAACAAAATAATACAAAACATAATCAAATGATAATATAGATAAAGATAAAAAAGTCAATAATTCTAAAATTGGTAAGTGAAAAGACAAAGGCAGAACTAAGCTTATAGATAGCAAAAAATTAAAACAAAAATTAGCAAATAAAAACAACTACTTAATATAAAAAATATAATAGCAACAACATTATGAAAAACTGATCTAATAAAAACAATAATACTAAGAAAATATAATTAAAGTAAATATAAAAGATACTAATAAAGATATGAGCAAGGCCTCACCTTAATACCAAAAAAAAAAAAAACATAAAAGATCTGTCAAATATAGAAAAATAAGTAAAAGAATTAAATCATACAAGTTAACATACATCAGTAGTATAAAGTATAAAAAACAAAAAAACTTAAATAATATCAAAAAAAGAAATTAACATATTAGAAATGTATATAAAAAAAAATAAGACAAAAAACAGAAATAATAAATATAAAGATAAATAAAAAAAGTTATAAATATAAAAGAAAGAAAAGACAAAAAAAAAAGAAAAGATAAAGAAGTCTTAACTATAAAAGCAATTAGTACAGTAACTTAAGCAAAAATAGCAGATATTATATAGAAGAAAAAATTAGAACTTTAAAATTAAATATAATATAACAAAACTATTAAAACATAATTATAGTAATTAAAAATCAGAAAAAAATAAAAAAAATAAAAAAAAAGTATTTATTTTTAGTATAACCATTGGTTCAGTATATATATCATATAATATAATGTATAAGTAAAATTAAGTACATCTATACATACATAGTAAATAATCTACATATAAGACACAGTAATAATCATTTAGTAATCTGTCATATAAGCTTGTCTTATAGTAAAAACTCATAGTAAATTTGAGACAAATTATATAGTAATTTTGAGACAAAAATCTGTTACAATTACTGTGTTACAAAAATAAAAATATAAATAGACACAGGATTCATCTCAGTGACATCTCAAATTGAATAAAAAATTTTATTTAAACCAAGAACTAGAGCTTTACGAGCTGTTTTTATAGAAATTATATTTTTTGTTTAAAGAATAATATAATTTCAATGCTAATTTATATAGAATTTTACTAAGTTAAGTAAAGTTATGTTCTTAATAAAAATTGTTCAGCATAATGAGAAGTATTAAAATCTTTGTTTTTATGAATATTGGTTGTAAACTCGATTAGTAATAATGATTTTTCTCTTAAAAACATATACAAAAATTTTTTATTAGAAAATAGTTAATAATAATCAGCTTCGAATTAATTTTCTTTATTCTAAACCTATTTTATGCTTCTAAGTAAAGTTGTAGAACATGTTTTCATATATTAGTATATGAATTTTTAGATTTTTAGAGTTAATATTCATTGAGATATTAACATTTTTCTATTTTGTTTCGTAGATGAATATTGTTTTGATGTAAATATGATAATTGATTAAATTTATCATTTTTTATCTTGATTCTAAATCTCATACTGCATATTAATACCATTGATAGAGTACGTATATAAAATTTTTCTCTGAAAATTTCAGATCATTTTATTAAAAACTCATAGAGATATAACATTTTTTTATTTGAAAAACACATACAAATTTTTTCTTTAAAGTTTATAAAACAGTTTTTATTAATTTGACCATTTTATTCAAAGAAAATATACTATATGATACTAATGAAATTGGTGTAGATGATATTCAAGAATTCATATATTAAATTTCAAGTCAAACAGATTTATATTCATGAAATTAGTTCAATTTTTGATAAAATGATTTTTATATTGTCTTTGCAAATTATTTGTTTTAAAATCGCTATCACATGAATTTTCATATTTTACGCAAATTTTAATAAGCTAATTAACTTTGTGTTATTAACAAAAAATATAAAACACATCAAAAAACATACAGTTTTATAAAACAACTTTGCAAAAAACTCTCCCCTGCAGATCACTCGACCAAAAATTGTTAAGAAGCAAAACACAGAAAAACCGTAAAACCAACTAG